GGCGTCCTCAAATTAAGAGTCAATTACTTTTTCCCTGCATATGTCACATCAAACAGTAAATTTGAGAGTATGCAACGGCTTTTCGTAAGTTACATGTGAATTCTCCGTGCCCCAGAAACGCAAAGGCTGCCTTGTGCTTCTGAACTCGACAAACAAAACAAACTATTGCATACAATAAAAACTGCAACTTTATAATGGGTGTTTTTTTAAGCCCGATAGAACTTGAAATTGTAAAAAATAACACAAAAAATTAAATTAAAATCAAAATTTTTTTTTTATTCGAAAGATCAATGCGTGACATTAACATTTGAAAATGATTTCGGGCATATGGGCACCGCGGCTGTTCTTGACGAAGCGCATTCTGCACGTCCAATTTTGGGCCACTTTTTCGAGCACTGCTGGCCGTATGTCACGAATAACACGAACAATGCTGGCCTCCAAGGCGTCAATTGTTGCTGGTTTATCAGCATAAACCAGTGACTTTACGTAGCCCCACAGGAAATAATCGAGAGGTGTCAAATCGCACGACCTTGGAGGCCAATTGACAGGTCCATTTCTCGAAATCAACTTATCGCCAAATTTTGATTTCAATAAGTCGATGGTTGCGTTCGCCGTATGGCACGTAGCGCCATCCTGTTGAAACCACATCTCCTCCGGATCAATGTCATCCATATTTTCAAACAAAAAATCATTGATCATGGTGCGGTAACGATCTCCATTGACCGTAACGCGAGCTCCGGCCTCATTTTTGAAGAAATAAGGTCCGATGATGCCACCAGCGTGAAAACCGCACCAAACGGTGCATTTTTCTGGATGTAATGGAGTCTGTAGGGTCTCTTGTGGATTGGTCTCGCTCCATATGCGGCAATTTTGCTTATTAACAAACCCGTTAAGCCAAAAATGCGCCTCATCGCTGAACACAATTTTGCGATAAAACAACGGGTCAGTTGCCAACTGCTCTAGAGCCCAATCGGCGAAAGAACGACGCATATAATGGTCTCGTGGCTTCAATTCCTGCACCAGCTGGATCTTATACGGGTGTAGGCCGAGATCTTTGCGCAAAATTTTCCACGTAGTGGACGGACAGAGCCCCAATTCCTGCGACCGACGACGAATCGATAAATTTGGATCTTCCTCCACACTTTCGTTTACAGCGGCGATATTCTCTTCAGTACGCACATTCCTTCGACGTGTTGGTGTTATTGCATCCTCTAGAGAGTATGTGGTACGAAATCTATCCACAGTTCGACGAATGGCTTGTTGAGATGGACGATTATGTACGCCATAAAAATGACGAAGTCGTCTATAAGTTGCGCGAATCGACGACTGATTTTCAAAGTAAATTTGGATAATTTCGTAGCGTTGCTCAAGCGTGAGTCTATTCATGATGATTTGTCAGAGTATACTGAAACGATAAAAAAAAATATTTCATCAAAATTTAATTTTTTGTGTTACTTTTTACAATTTAAAGTTCTATCTAGCTTAAAAAAACACCCCTTATTATTATTATAACGGAGTATCTATAAAGTTTTCTCATCTGGTTGGGTTGTATAAATATATAGTTGTAAATGAAAATGATTATTATTGTTGTGTATCTATAATCTATAATAACGGGGTATCTATAAAGTATTTTTATCTGGTTGGGCTATATAAATATATAGTTGTAAATGAAAATGATTATTATTATTATTATGGTTATGGATGGTGGTTTTGTAAAAGTTGGTGGACACGTTGTGTTCAGTTTAAATAAAGATTGCCTAGCTTTGTTCATTGCACGAATATTATCTTCTTGAAGTGCGAATCGGCCTGCTTCGCAAAGATTAGGAAATTCTTTTGTTCTTAACATTGCTCCGATGTCGGAGCTATTGCTATTAATAAAATCGTTAAGAGCCGTTTTCTCCGTCGTCGCTAAGTGACCTAATAACGTCTTATCGCATATTTCAGCGTTTAACTTTTCAATTATTTTAGAGCGACAGAGGTCGACTCTGTGCAAATATTCGGTTAACGTTTATGTAGGTTTTTGGAACATGGATTGCAGTTCAAGGTTAAGGTGTGCTATGGTTTTAACGTTAGAGAATTTTTCAATAAGGAATATTCTTAAACCGGTCCATGAGACATGTTCTTTATTGTGAACGTCTGCCGCACTCGAACCAGTGATATTGTTTAACGCGTATACTAAAAGTACTGACTTCTGGTCCGCTGAACTTAAGTCGAAAGCTGGATTGCATGACCTAACGAATCTGTACACTTGGTCGTTATTATCTGTGTCGAATGAGGGCATTAATTTAAGTAATGTAGTGATGTCTAAGGCTTTCTTAGGGTTCTTTTGAGATTGTTTTACACAGCCAATGAATAATTGATATAGAGAATTATAATATAGTAGTATACAATAGAATAGTAAGACTATATTTAAAAAAATGAATGTGAATGAGGTGGGAGATGTAGAAAAATATTTTGCTAAAAATGGAAAAATAGTAATTCGAACAAACAAGTTTAACCACTTACCACAGTAACAATAAAATGTTGAGCTGCATGGTTCGGCGAAGTTCTTCAACAGCCTTCAGCTACCGTACGTTGCCTTCTTGTTGGCCGATGCTGTCCCGTCGAATTTTCTACGTTTTTACTTCGTCTTTACGCGATTTAAGCGAATGAATCACAGGTGAGCCGCATGCTCGTTTTTATGGTACATAAAAATCTCGTCAAAACTTGGGGATCGGCTTACGTAAATAAACATGAACATTTCGAATATATTATAGTGTACCAAAAGTCGGATAAGAAAAAATACAAAGTAACAATATCAAATAGCTTCAACATAATAAATTTAAATATCATGAAAGATCAAAATTACTCATAGTAGTATCTACTTATTTCTCTAAGTTCTGCAGGTTTCTCTTCCATTGTTTCGGATTTCTCTGCCGTTTCCGAGCTTTACTAAATCTAAAACGGTTGGATTTGTATCTATCTTCGTAAAGATAGCACATTTACTTTGAAAATAACACAGTATCTTATAAAAAAGAAATACTTTTTCACGACAAAAGCACAACAAAATTTAAGCCGCCGCCATAACAGTTTTGTGTATCACGTGACGAAAATGCTGGCTCCGCGCTATTGACTAGTCAGGACTTTGCGGTTTTTGAACTAAACTATGATGGGCTTTGCGGTGTTTGAAGCTTACTGTCTACTTTAAAATGAATTTTCTATTGGACATAGCTGTGTTTGGTAAGATCTGATAAATTGAAATTGTGCGGAAAAAAAAGTTACTAGAGACAAAAACATATTGCGACATGAAAAAAATGTACTTTGCGGGTTATGAAACTATACCACTCATATGTTTAATTTAATACAGTTTATATCTGTAATATTAACGGTTAAAAACTAAAACAATGTTCTTAATTTTTTATCGAAAATTATAATATCGTATGGTCCATGCTTACAACGGCTGGTGCAGAAGTAATGTCATAGTGTGAATTGGCTGCCATTTTTTTATAAAAGAAAAAAGTTGGGGTCTGCTTTCACGGACAGTTTATTTTAAGATGTAAAATTGATGACATTAAGTTGAAAAAATAATATCGTACCAATGACCATCTCCATTTTATGCATCATTGTGCTTGCTTTATTTTGTTTTGAATTTTTGCTCGCAAAATATCTGGTCTGGTTCCTGGTTTGTGGTTTGTGGTGTTATTTCGAAAAAACCCACAGGAAGAAATCTGGCGTCGTCAGATCTGGCAATCTGGTCGACCAATTCAAATCGCCAAAACGGGAGATCACTCGGCCTAGAAATTGATGTCTCAAAACTTTCATCGTTGCTCGAGCTGAGTGTGTGAGCGGTTGCTTCGTTCTCTCCAGACACTAAATTCAACAAATTGCGGCAAAAAAAAAACTCGCTCAATATCAGTCTGTTATGGGCTGCTGTCGGCGTCCTCAAATTAAGAGTCAATTACTTTTTCCCTGCATATGTCACATCAAACAGTAAATTTGAGAGTATGCAACGGCTTTTCGTAAGTTACATGTGAATTCTCCGTGCCCCAGAAACGCAAAGGCTTCCTTGTGCATCTGAGCTCGACAAACAAAACAAACTACTGCATACAATAAAAACTGCAACTTTATATTATTATTATAACGGAGTATCTATAAAGTTTTCTCATCTGTGCCTGCAGTCTCGACATAGATAGCGATCGCCTAACAACCAATATCGGTTGTTAAGTCATAACAATCCTAATATAACAATATTTGGTAGTCTCTATTGTCAAAGTTATCAATTTAATAACGTTACCGTAACAACACTATTGAAAACTTTACAATCTATTGATATAGTGATTTCTTATATTTACGCGAACACTACACATTTAAATGAAACTAATTTTACGGATTTTATCGCGTATATTAACTTATTTTCCATTCCCGACGTTTCAAGCACTTTACAGCACCCATGGTCACGGGGGGGACTGAGGTGTATGACGTCCCAATGTCATAGTTAACCACGGCTACCTCCAGATTAAAAATTATTAATTTTTGTTCCGATCTACGCAGTATGAACTTACAGTATCATGAAGTCTTGCAGTTGTATGCTTGGGTTGGGATTTAATTTTATTAATTATGGGATCCCAAGCAGATGGTAGCACCCAGCCATCTTCTCTATTGAAATTAGGATGTTTTTTGATTTCAATAGCCTCGCGAATCATCCTTGGAAGGAATCGGTGTTCTTTAGCGAGGATTTGTGGTCTATCAAATCTAATGTAGTGACGGGGGCGATCCTGTACATGTTCACAGACTGCAGACTTCCCGGAGCGTCTATTCTTCACATGTGAAGACAACACAAATCCTCGCTAAAGAACACCGATTCCTTCCAAGGATGATTCGCGAGGCTATTGAAATCAAAAAACATCCAAATTTCAATAGAGAAGATGGCTGGGTGCTACCATCTGCTTGGGATCCCATAATTAATAAAATTAAATCCCAACCCAAGCATACAACTGCAAGACTTCATGATACTGTAAGTTCATACTGCGTAGATCGGAACAAAAATTAATAATTTTTAATCTGGAGGTAGCCGTGGTTAACTATGACATTGGGACGTCATACAATCTATTGATATGTTAGCAAATATTTTATCAACCCTTTTTGAGAGCCCGATAAGTGTACGTTACGATCATAAGCCTCTTTAAAAATTTGTTTTGGAGTTTTATCGATTTAAAATCTATATTCTATCATAATATATAATTCTAAAAGTATTAAGTAATAATGGCGGAATCATATCTAGCATGGGATTTATCAGTGCTAGAACACAGGCGTGTTATGGTTATGCGGCGGCAAATCGCACGAAACCGGCGCGAAAGTGAAAATCCTTTGGATTTAGAGGATAGTGAATTCTTGTACCTTTACAGAGTTACAAAAGATATGTTTAGCGAGCTCGTAGGTGCACTTAGGCCATCTCTTCAAAAACAACGGCCGTACGGACTTTCTGTAGAGTCCCAAGTGAGTGTCATCATGTAAATGCCTATATACCTTTAAAAACTAACTCTTTTTCGTTTGTATTAACTCTTAGTTTCATTTTCTTCTAAATAGCTACTGACGGCACTTCGATTTTATGCAAGTGGGTGCTATCAGCTACCTGTTGGCTTACAGTGGGGTTGCAGCATGAGCCAAAAATCGGTTAGCCGAGTAGTACATGCTGTAACCGAAGCTATTAATGAAAAATTATTGAGAAAATATATAAAATTCCCTATGACCCCTGAAGGGCGGCGAGCAGCTAAAGCAAAATTTAGGAATGCCCCACAGCCATTTCCGGATGCGATAGGAGCCATAGACTGCACACACATAAAATTCTAGCTCCAAAGTTGCATGAAGAGGCATATGTGAGCGGTCACCATGAGGGACATTCATTAAATGTACAAGTTGTAAGTTTAATCTTCAGTAGTTATTGTTTACCTATTTATTTGCTAGTTAAGTTTCAGGAGCGGTGCTGAAGCTTTTTAAAACAACTAAATATGTCTCCATGAAATTTACACTACAATAATGTATTATTGTAACATAATAGCTATATATTTCAGTGCAAAACTGATTTCCTTAACTAAGTGATAACATTACTATGATGAGAGTTGTAATTATAATAAATCTTATTCTAAATCCAAGGGCTTTTATAGGATGGTTAAAACAAGTCTGTTGACTGAAAATATGACACCTTGGTTTAACCAGCAATAACAATTAATTATAGTGGAGTCAGTGTCTTCTGTAATGTTATACTTCATAACATGTTTCAGTAATCCAATATCAAAAGCTTAATCAGCACAGTTCACAGTCAAAAATGTTATTGTAAAATTATGGCTACTAGCAATTATCATGTTTATGAGTAATCTAATATCAAAATCTAAGTGAGAACAATTTGGGATCAACAGGTTTTAAGGCTATTTATAGACTGCATAACTTGCTTTGAAAACATGAACAAAGTATCTTCCCCTTATTATTGATAGTAAAAATAGTCTTATTAGATACATTTTACTCAGCAGTTTAGGTGAAAAAGTTTAAATTATACTAATTAGTCTTAAGGGCTTAAATTGTAATTTTATTGCACCTAGTTACACTCTGGAACATCATCATCATCAATAATAAATAAATCTATTTACTTATTTATTAGCACAAATAGGTACACCCCTAATTAAAAGTATATTTTAAATTATTTTAGGTGTGTGACCCAGACCTGTTAATTTTGAACATCAATGCTAAATGGCCAGGAGCCAGACACGATGCTCACATATGGGCAAATTCACCTGTACGCTCAATCATGAAGCGACATTTTGACAATGGGGATCGCCGTACATGGTTACTTGGTAAGTTAAAGACCAATTTTACTAGAATGGAATGTCTGTAAGACTGCCGAATGTAATTTCGATGTTTAAACTTTTAGGTGATGATGGATATCCTCTGGAGCCATGGTTGATGACCCCAATAAAAAATCAACACCTTGGGACGCCGGAGCGTAGATACACAGATGCTCATGGTTCAGCCAGAAACATCATAGAAAGATGCTTTGGTGTGCTAAAGTCTGTTTTTAGGTGTCTGTCTCATCAACGCCAGTTAATGTATGAGCCATACACTGCTGGCCTAATAGTAAATGCATGTGCAGTACTACACAACATGCGTATTAAATATAGATTGCTGGAACCATATGTCACCACATCCACAGAAATCATTGTCTATAGCTATAATGATGATGGCTTGGAAGATACAGGTAATAATGTTGTTTAGGTAATATTAGATTAGACTTTGTTGTCTTAATCTAATATTACCTTTGTTAATCTTAAAATTGCATGTTTCTATTACAGGACGAGTAACTGGCACTGGGCGAGCTATTGCAGAGCGAATACAAAGAAGATTAATAAATAATACCTTTACTTAATTATCTGTAGTATTATGCTATGTTTGAATAATCTTAAAATTGTGTTTTTATTACAGGAAGAGTAACTGGCACTGGGCGAGCCATTGCAGAGCGAATACAAAGAAGATTAATAAATACTACTTTTACTTAATTATCTATAGTATTATGCTATGTTTGAATAATCTTAAAATTGTGTTTTTATTACAGGAAGAGTAACTGGCACTGGGCGAGCTATTGCAGAGCAAATACAAAGAAGACTCATAAATACTAATTTTACTTAATTATCTAGTATTATGTTATATTAGTTATAATGTTATCATAGTAATGATGTGTATAGTAAATGTTTCATATTAATTGTACAAAGTAATATACTGTAAATTGATTTTATAAAAAAAAAAAGTCCCGCTGGGTTTCTTGCTGGTTCTTCCCAGGACAGAGGTTTTTTATTCGAACCAGTGGTAAAAGTAAAAACATTACTAAAAAATTTATATTGAATAAAAATTATTCTATTCTATTATGTGAAGTGAAATAAAACATTAAACATCTTATTTTATTTATTATTTTTATTTATATATAATATAAAGGCATCTGCTATTTTATTGGCAGCCTGTGCTAACGAAAGAGACGCCTCTGCCTGCACTTTTGCCGCCTCTGCTTGCATTTTGGCAGCCGCTGCTTGCACTTCAGTTGCAACTGCCAGCATCTGTAATTAAAAAATATGTAAAAAGTAGTTATTCATGTTTTAATAGTGTGCTAATAACCCACTGAGCTTAAGCTCAGTATAGTAATATTAATATAAGGTAGTTATTAAACAACAATAATACAGATAAACACATTTATTTGTATATAGATTATAACAACATATTGACCAACTAATTCAGTAAAAAGGGTATCCGGTTCTCTACACTCACAATACAAAACAAAGCAGTGTTAAGCTGCTATTTTACGTTGGTATTCCGTGCGAGCGTGGTCCTTCCTCAGTCAAGCCGACCTATTCATGCTACAACTATACTACTAATACAGCTGCAGAATGGCTCTACCACATAAAAATATAAATTGTTGGTTTTTTATTCTGTTTAGCTTAGAATATAGATGTAATATTATAACATACCCTAATTGCTTCTGCATTTGATTCTGCAACTGCCAAAAAATCCTGACGTGCCATATTTGCTTGCTCAGCAACAGAGTGGCGAGGATTCAGATCTAAAAATACCCAAAATTTATTTTATTGTAATTAAAATCACTTTTAGCTTTATTCTGCTCAAGCTGATCATCTTGTGAACTAATGTTTATATTATTAACACTTAATTAAAAATCAAGCTTACTCCTTATCCTTCTGGGCCTCTCTCGTTGAACAGTAGGTGGTGAGGTAATAACAGCTGCTGCTCTGCTGCCACTCACTGCTGAAATAATGAAATACACATGAAATGATCACAATCTTACCAATAGTATAAATGTGATTTTTTTTATAGGATAAGGGTGACAAACGAGCACACAGTCCACCTGATGGTAAATGATTGCTGTGGCCCATAGACATCTACATCTAATCTCGATTACGAATCAAAATGGAGATGTGTTGCCACCCGTGAGGACTAAGATGGAATGCCTCGTTTCCAGTAAAAAGGGTCTCTGGTTCTCTACACTCATCATACGAAACACAGCAGTGTTAAGCTGCTATTTTGAGCTGGTATTCTGCGAGAATACCAGCGTACAATTACGTTTTTGACGTACGTTGTCAATATTTGCAAAGATTTTTGTTTATTTATTAATCACACTAAAACAGCAGAAGATTTATATGAAAATTGGCACACAGACCATTTTGTCTTGAAATAGTGGATAAAACAGCGGAACACAAATAGATAATATATGTAAATAGGAGTTATATGAATAACAAAGCCCAAACTTACTTATTTGTGGTGCTGCTGACTGCAAAGTTACCTCTTGGTCCTGTTGGTTAGTGGGTGAAGCAACAGCTGTAGCTCTGCTGCCACTTGCTACTAAAATAATCAAATATAAAATATATTAGTGAAATATAATCATCTAGAGAGGTATGAATAAAGGTGTAATAAAAATAACATAAACGTACTAATTTGTGGTGCTGGCAATGCTTGATCTTTCTCTGTCTCAAGCAACTTGTATTCATTACCTGTAATTAAAATTTGTGTTTTAATACATTGCAGGTAAGTGCATTTAAAGTGCAACAGAATTTACATTATATTTTGAATATACTTCTCTTAGAAACTTACATTGAGACAAAGAAATAACTTCCACCATATCCATCCCAGCCTCCATCTCATGTTGTAATGTCTATAATAATTAGTAAAAGTATTTATTATTGTAAATTGCATTAAAACCAAAAACTAAGATTACGAAGTTTGATTAAGTATATGAAATTGTATATAAGTAATTATTAAGCCACTACTGAACTCACTTCTTCCTCTGGCATTGAGTCGGGGCAGTCACTGACAAATGTGTACTCAAGACCTATAAGAGACACGATCTTTTTTTCCATCTCTGTCAGTGGAGCAGTGGTGATGCCTTGGTTGCCGGTCTGCAACCTTTCTCGTTTTAATTTTGCGGCTTTAGTGCAGGCCCGGCATTTCAAGTCTCTCCATACCTACAAAATAAATAATTATGTATTTTAAGTAAATATTAGTTACATAATGTGCTGGCTGATTTATGTATAAGCCATTAGTAGTAAATCTGGAAAATTCTTTGATAGAAACTTAACTGTTATCCACTGCTCAGGCGTCTTGACGGCTCCGTTGGGAAGTTGGTTTAGCTCATCGGCAACTTCCCTCCAGCCCGTTTGATAGTTTACTCTGTACCGCAGGCCACAAAATTTTTTGGTATATAAATATGGCCGAGCTTCTAACATGGCCAACAGTGCCTCAAGCTGCCCACTCGTAGCGCGTGATGTACGCTTACGTCTGAAACATACATAGAAGTAAATATTAAAAATGCAAAAATTATAGTCTCTAAACAAACCATTCAATAAACAACGATAGATTCGATTCGAGTTGTACTTACTTAACGCATCTCGAAACCGGGCTTGCGCCTGCGTCAGTGTCCCCCACCACCATCGAAGACATAATATATATATCATAAACTTTGATAAAAATCGGAATATATAAATATTTTGTTTTATTATAATAGTAAATACGTTAGGTACGTTGTCAAATCAAAACTGACCGTTTTGTTTTTTTTTGGATTGACATTAACATCAGTGTTGCAAGGAGGCAAACTTTTAGGTCCTTTGATATTTAACAAATTACTTCAATTCTTAGAAACGGTAAAATCTGCTTGTAAGCTACTATAAAAAATATTTTTATAACATAAGGTTCCTACTGTTTCTGTACAATTTTCAAATAAAAGCAATTATTTTTATAAAATTATGTCTACCAATTTTCCCTGTGATTCAAGGAGATTTTTTGACAGCCAATATTTTTTTATGAAAACACTGCACTATGAATACGTTTTTTGTTAGCGTAACAACATCATAAAGTGAAGATATGTCAGAATTTTGTACGGTATCTCGGCTGTCGAGACTTGCATTTATCGTAAGCATCGTTACGACAAACATTTTTTTACGTTATTATTTAACAATCGGCTGTTAGCAATTGCGTTGTTATCTATGTCGAGACTGCAGGCGCTGGTTGGGCTGTATAAATATATAGTTGTAAATGAAAATGATTATTATTGTTGTGTATCTATAATCTATAATAACGGGGTATCTATAAAGTATTTTTATCTGGTTGGGCTATATAAATATATAGTTGTAAATGAAAATGATTATTATTTTGGGGTATCTATAAAATTTTCTCATCTGGTTGGGCAGTATAAATATATAATTGTAAATGAAAATGGTAAACATACATAAATATGAATAAAATAAAATAAATACATAAAAAATACATAAATATATAAAAACCCAACCAGATGGAAGCCCTCGGCAGGGGAGACCAGACGGCCGAGGGTTAGGGGGAAAGGGAAAGAAACCGGCGGACGATGCGGGCGGTATCGAGGAGCACCGCCTTCTGCATTTGAGCCTGGAGCGGTCCGTCACGGAGTCCCAGTCGCCTCAGATGACCCGGGAGGCTGACTGGGATTAACCCGTTCGCAGAAACGACCACAGGAATAATTTCGGCCGGCAGACCACCCCACATGCCGGTAACCTCGTGAGCCAGGTCCAGATATTTTGTCACCTTATCTGTTTCGGCTTTCACGAGGTTCTCGTCATAAGGAATGGTAATGTCGACCAAAAAGATCCTTGACTGTGCCCGGTCCATCAGCACAATATCAGGCTTATTCGCAAGAATAGTCCTGTCTGTGATGATGGCCCGGTCCCAGTAGAGCCTGGCGCGGTCATTTTCGAGCACGGCTTCCGGCAAGTACTTATAATACGGCAGTTTCCGATCCACTAGGCCGTATTTCAGAGCGAGCTCCTGGTGTAGAATCCTGGCTACTAGATTGTGTCTGTGCAAATACTCAGAGTTAGAAAGCGCCGAACAACCGGAGATGACATGCCTAAGTGACTCACCGGGATGGCGACAAGCTCGACAGATGTCGACGGCGCCATCCTTTAGGATGTATCTCCGATAATTGTTGGTCTTAATAACCTGATCCTGTATTGCACAGACAAAACCCTCGGTTTCCCCAAAGAGGTCACCGAAACGTAGCCAGTGAAGGGAGGCGACTGTGTCTACGAAAGGCTCATGTAGAGCCTTGTAGAACCTCCCGTGGAGCTCCTTCTCCTTCCATACGGCCTCCCGGTCGGAAATGCACTGTACTGCTGGGTCTTGCCATTGCTCGTTGGCTAAGGATAGAGGAGTCAGTCCTTTATCACAAGAAATAACGTCCCTATAGTATGGATCATCCGCTCTCGTCAGAAAGTAATTACGGAGGCTGCACACTTCGCGATTATGCATGGTAAGCGCGCTTAAAAAGCCGCGCCCACCATGCTTCCGCGGCAAGTACAGCCTCATTACTGACGATCTCGGATGATGCATGATTATTATTATTATTATGGTTATGGATGGTGGTTTTGTAAAAGTTGGTGGACACGTTGTGTTCAGTTTAAATAAAGATTGCCTAGCTTTGTTCATTGCACGAATATTATCTTCTTGAAGTGCGAATCGGCCTGCTTCGCAAAGATTAGGAAATTCTTTTGTTCTTAACATTGCTCCGATGTCGGAGCTATTGCTATTAATAAAAACGTTAAGAGCCGTTTTCTCCGTCGTCGCTAAGTGACCTAATAACGTCTTATTGCATATTTCAGCGTTTAACTTTTCAATTATTTTAGAGCGACAAGGTCGACTCTGTGCAAATATTCGGTTAACGTTTATGTAGGTTTTTGGAACATGGATTGCAGTTCAAGGTTAAGGTGTG